CCAGCGGGATTGGGATAAGTGGCTCCCGTTCGCGACTTTTGCCTATAATACTGCCGTCCACGAAGGCACAAAAGACAGCCCTTACTACCTCCTGTTTGACAGGGACCTCGTCGTGCCCGGGGTGGCTTTCTGTGAACCAAAGGGGCACTACGGCACACTCGATGACTACCGCGCGGAGCTAACACAGTGACTTCAGCGAGCTCACCACATGGCTTCGTCCATGCTCCGTTCTGCGGCAGAGTTGCGTAAAAAGAGGCTTGTACCTTTCCGTAGGGACCCGAAATTTAAAGTTGGACAGAGAGTTTATATCAGAGCCGGCGCGATCGTGCGGGGACTGGCCAGGAAGTTAGCCGCCAAATGGGTTGGACCGTATCGCATCATTGAGCGTCTTTCGTCCGTCACAATGCGCGTGCGTAACATCAAAACGCGCGAAATCAAGGTCATCCACGTAAACAGGCTGCGACGGGCGGATCCCTCGGGACGCGCCGAACTTGAGCAAAGCAGCCGGCCAGAATTCTCGACACGGTCATCCGGCAGTCCCGCTGTCGGGGCAGGTAACGCGAACATGCCTAACATACCCCCGGAACTGCTGCTGGAGTTAGTTCTACAGGAGCAGTCGCAGCGACCCGTATGTCCAGCAGGCGCCACGGGTCATAGATACGCCCTTAGAAGCCACGGTCCTGTCCCCGATCTACCTTAGGTTAGGAGACAACGCTATGACCCACCCATACAGCGGACGAACAGGTAGTCAAGAGGCTAGCCGGGATCTTGGGCCACCTACTATGTCGGGGTCATAAATGTACATGGTGATTGATATTTTGATCCCCATGTTTTACCCATATTCTACTTTCATTACTTTTGTGTTAGCACTGTGTCGAAGTTTTTCACCCCTCGTGGATTTTGTTTTTGATTCCTATGTTTTCACTCATATCCTACTTTCATTACTTTTGTGTGAGCACTGTGCCAAAGTTTTTCGCCCTTTGGGGACATTTTTTTTGCTTATAGACCTGTTTCGTTTCAAAGATAGGATTTCGAAGAGGGCATGTAGTTCATTTGATTAGTGTGGCTTTGTGTTACTCGTAATATCTGATGTTGGCCTCTGAGCGAATGATGTGCCTGCAACCGATTGCACCTTTGGCATAGGGGAGGAACATAGAGTTAGTGAATGTGAGATCACTTAGACCTCGCCGCGTGTCGGAGAGCGGGCGCGAGGGAGACTGGTCTAGGAACGGTGCGGTTTAGATAGACAGGATATGTGGCTGGCATCTGTGGCCCGAACTAGGCAGATTATGCGAGGTGGTTGGTCGAGATACCTAAATAGGCGCTGGACAACAGGTGATGAGATGAGACAAGATAACAGACAAACTACGGCGTTTTCCCTACACAATAGTGTCGTGCCTCGATAGGAGGCGGGGAGGGCTGGCTTGTAGGAAGAGATGAAGCAGCCGCGGTATCGACGAGGCGAAGTGGAAGTTCAGATTGAAATGGTTTCACGGCGTCTCCCCGCACGGAAGTGTCGCGCCTCGTTAGGAGGAAGGGGGGCGTCGTGATCGGTATTGATTTATAACACCTAATATCACAGTTGCATAGGAGAGCATATACGCTACGTTTTCAGCCATTCCGAACACGCAAATCGCGTTGAAGGTCCCTCTCCCTCACCGACAGGTTCGTGCAGCAGAGGCCGGGCAGTAGATGGTATGCGAAGGTAATTTAGTGCATATTCAGATTCAGAACATAGATTATACCGCCTGTGTGACCTATGTTCTCCCGCCATCCCGCTTTTCGTCTGGTTTCAAATGTTCGAGGTCTTAAAATTTTGTGCATGTGTGAAATGAAAGTGTATTTAAATGTGTGTATCCTATGTTCTGTTGTGTCGAGAGTGGACAGTACCGGCGAAGTGTGTGATGTGCTCGCATGGTAGTGAACCTTCCGCATTCATGACTGAACGCTGCGTGCCAAACCGTCCGACGAGCAGCTGTGACCAGTGTGCATTTTGTCCACGCGTCATCCACGAGTTTCTACAGTGATTCTGAAGGTTTCAAGTGTGTTGTGCGCGGTAGAAATACGGAATCAAACTGCTTCGTGGTGGGTGATGATTCAGCGACAATCAAAGACTGGTTCCTCTCAGCGACGCGCCACCGCCACGGCTGAACAACAAGTGTACTGTGTTCGCGTATCGTATTCCTAAGACTGCCGCAACGTCTCAATTTCGCTGCGCAACCCGAAGGCGTTATGCGCCCGCATTTCTCGTGTTTGAATTTCCCCGCTGGGAAAATTCTTCTGCAAGATGAAGGGATTGTGACGTCCCCGCAAACACAGACTGAACCCCGCTCCTTTCGAGATGTGTGCGCTCGTTTCTTAAACCCATGCATAAAGGGCATTCCGGAGTTAAGTACCAGAAGGATTATTTCTATTATTCTTGTGAGCTCCCCCGCGCAAACACGAGGACCAGGAGGCGCCTTGTCGTCTACAGACAGTCTGACAATGTACTGTGAAGATAATCGGCGCGCTCCCTTGAGATTTGTGGCATGGGGGAGCAGCAGAACACCTTTTGTTGGCTCGCGGAATGCCACCTTTGCGGCAAGCGCCTTTGCCGGGTCCAGTATGCCTTTCCGTCAACCTCCGTGGCTCCAGGGCTTATTACTGCATTCTGCGCGGATGGCCGCCCGCGGCGGTGAACGACGAAGAAGCGGCGGCTACGGAGAATTTGGCGGGAGACACCGAGCTACATGAAAACGTTGAGACTTGGTCTAGACATCGGCTCACCAAGTACCGGAAGCATCGGGGCCATTGTTTACCCGTAATTAAGGTGTCTTCGGATGGCTCGCCCATCACTCTCCCTGAGGCTCGAGTTTGTACATTGTTACTTGCTCGGCTTTGTTTGGGAGAGGGTTTTCTACTGGCGTAGGCCACGGGGGCGGCCGCCGAAGATAATACACTCCGACTGAGAAGAAAATATGCTGCGTGGATAGCGGCGGTTGGCTTGGTGCCCCGATAGGGCAGAGTGGGAACCTGAGAAAAGCGGCCACGTGTCAAGAAAGGGGAGAAGCGAGGAGAGTCTCTCCCAGGGGAGAAAAAGAGGTAGACGGCGACGGAAGGGGACAGAAGAGACCGCGACGTGAAGAACCAACCTTCGGCCCCAACTCGAGCAGCCAACTCCGAGATTCCGACTACATGGACATTCTGTGAGACGAACTTCACCTCCTTTTCTTGAACGAGTTTTGCGGGAAGGAATGCGGTGTATTGAGGCATTGCGTGGTTTTATTAATTTATCACTTTATCATTTGTGTCGTACGTTTACTGTGTATTGAGGCACCGTTGTAGTGCCACCGCTACTCGCTTATGTATCCTGTTTCGCGTGTCCCGAGTATTTGTTGAAGTGTTACCCTTTTGTGTAACAAAGAGGTCGTTCACGGGCGCTATGTGTGTACGCCATTTGCACTTGTTATTCAATTAAATGCGTCCATGATTAAGAAAAGATCGTGACGTCTCTTACTTCCCGGGCCCAGCACGAATTCCTGTATGTGGAAAGCAATTGAGACACGTAGCCAAGAGGGAACCGGATAAAAGGGGGTTGAGGGGCTTCCCTCTCTTTGGCGATCAGTGGCGTAGCGGGGGACGTCTCAGTCCTGAGCAAAGCAATGTGGTCAAAAACCGTACATATTGTCGGCAAAAGTGTGCCGAGCCTCGAAGTAATCGGAGAGCCGATCCCTAACCATTGTTTTTATAAGCTTCCCCACACACAAGGTTAAGGAAATGGGTCGTATAGTTTCGATGTTTATAGACTTGCCTGGTTTGGGAATAAACGTTACCAAAGCCGTTTTCCAATCAATTGGCAGTGGTTCATGCCCCTCCCAATTTTGAATGAAGTAGTCGAGGAGCTAACGATATGCCGGGTCTGGGAGGTAGGCTGGAAGCCTAACCGTCACTCGATCTCTACCCGGCGCCGTTACTCGCTCATTTTGGACAGGGCCACCTTCAGATTATGGAGTCAAAGCAACAATCCAAGACTGCGTTCTCCAATCCGGCATATGAGAACGCTGGTTCGATGGGGTCCTGTCGGCCACAAAAATATTTATGCCGAAGGGCGCGTGCCAATTTATATGCGTCTCCGCGTAGGCGTGAAGTGCGCGTTTGGCTAAGTTCAATGTGGGCCCTTAAGAAACGCCACGTGTTGCGGTTTAACATATGCTTGGCGGCATCGTTGCAGCATTCAACCCAATTGGAGCCAGAGAGCTGGGCTGCGTACTCGGCTGCTTCCTGAGTGAGCGATGCTCTATGTGGACTTTGAGCTGACGATTATGCTTTGTCGGCGCTATCGGTGGACTAGGCTATGCTGAGCCTCCCGGAGCCGCTGGAGATGGTTATCTACCGCCGGAGTGGCTTCTGAGAGCTGAATCGTCGGCTCTGTTTGGTGAAGTGCCGTCACAAGGTGGTGAGACCAAGAGGCATAGCCTTGTTGAGCTATGGACGCCACAGTCATGTACTCTAAACCGAACTTGTCCCAGTTCGGAAGTTTTGTTTGGTGGTGAAACGGGTAAGGGGACATGTCCGAATTGCAGTTAGAAGAATGCAGTGGTAACTTCCGAGGGTTTCCTCAGTGTTTAACCATTCTGCATACTTGATGTGGTTGTTGACATACTTGATGTGATGTGGTGACTGAGGTTTTCAATGCCCCCGCTGTGGGCTCGCGCAGCGCGTCGCAGGCAGCGAAAGTGTTGGGGAGCAGGCGCATGCGTCCGTGTTGGCAGCTGCGGCCAGGGACGCCGCGTCAGCGGAGGCCGCCGTGAGTGCGTTGCTCGCCTGCTCTCGGCGAGTGACCAAGGCAGCAAGTGCGGTGCTCTTGAAGGATTCGGGCAGCTCCTGTAAACTGTCTGAAGATGGGACGCTGGTCTACACCATGCTGTGAGGATCATATCCAGTTTGGGTGTCCGCCACGGTTGCGGCTGCGGTGTGAAGCCGGCCGTCTGTTCTACCGGGAGTTGCCATGGTCACTAGGCCTAGTGATGCTGCTGGCGTGGTCGGGACGTAAATCGCCCGTAGGAGACGTAGAAGTGGTCCATCTGCCAAAATGTGGTATCCAGATGAAGCGAATTACATTACGGTGATGGTGGTGAGACGTTCTCGGAGGTTCGATAAGGTAATCAGGGGCTCCAAACAAAAATTTTCGGAGCCGGTGTGCTGTACATCCGATATGATCACGCGTTCCTGGTTGGGTGAGGCGAGTTTTAGGGACGGCAAACTTCTGTTGCATTTGTTTATAAACGAGTTACATGAGCAATAAAACTTCCCCCTTTTTTTTCACATCCACTTCCGATCTCTCATGTAGCTCAGCTTACGCACCATCCGCAATCATAATGTCTAATGGTTAACACGATCAAAAATTAAATTCGCCATTTATCAAATTCATTTTTCTTTCCAAAAGTGCCTTCGGTATTTCTACAGCTAAATCCAGCGATTTAGCCTGACCCACCAAATTGTGATGTATTCATTCGAGAGCGACGTTGAACACAGAACACATTGGCTTGTTCCTGCCTTCTTGTGCAGAAAACTTCAATCTAGTAAACAAGCATTTCATTTGCCCGCTGTGTAAGTGGGGCGTCTTTTGTGACTCACTTCAACGAATGTATATATATTGTGGTGAAGCCTTCGAACAGTGGGTCGTCCTCTCCAGCGCCTTCTAGTGGGTTGCCCTTTTTAGCAAGAGGAAGAGCAGCTCGTGCAGAGAGTCGGTACCCGCATGGACTGTCGCTGTCAAGCATCGTCGACAAGTGTCCGCCAATAAACGTCTCAACAATTTGGTGGAGAGTGCTGTGCCCTTCTAACACCTTCTGTTAGCATTTGATGCCCCTGGAGCTTCGATCCCGCACCGTGCCTTCTACCATGCACCAAGACGCCGCACAGCAAACGCTTGCTCCTGCGCCGACGCCATGTTCCGGTGTTCCCCGCATCCGCGACCCTCCTGTCTTCACCGGCGCGGATGGCACCGACGTTGAGGACTGGCTTGCTATGTACGAACGCGTCAGCGTCCCCAATCATTAGGACGAGGCAGGTAAACTCGGAAACCTGGTTTTCTACCTCGCGGGTGTGGCCGGCATGTGGTACAACAACCACGCACCCGATTTCCCCACTTGGTCCGCTTTTAAAACCGCCGTCGTCGACGTGTTCGGCCGTCCTGCCGTTCGTAAGCTTCAAGCCGAACAGCGGTTACGTGAACGAGCACAGCAGACTGGTGAGTCCTTCACAGGCTACATAGAGGACATCCTTGACTTGTGCAAGAAAGTGGACGCGAGCATGTCAGAGGCCGACAGAATTACCCATGTTCTAAAAGGCATCGCCGACGATGCCTTCACCATGCTCCTGGCCAAGAACCCTGAAAGAATTCCGCTCTTCTTTCGATGTATCTCAACCTTCTCTCGGCCGCACATCCACTGTTACGCATCGCATTGACACAGGCGCACAACCACCACTACGGCAACGTCCATATCGCGTATCTCCCACAGAACGCCGTGTAATCAACGAGCAAGTGGACGACATGCTACGCCGCGATGTTATTCGACCCTCTAACAGCCCCTGGGCGTCTCCTGTCGTTCTCGTCGCGAAGAAGGACGGTTCTGTGCGGTTCTGTGTGGACTACCGATGTCTCAACAAGATCACTCGTAAGGACGTGTATCCACTACCGCGTGTCGATGACGCGATTGACAGCCTGCAAGGAGCCGAATTCTTTTCATCTCTAGATTTGCGCTCAGGGTACTGGCAAGTACCTATGGCTGAGGACGCTCGACCGAAGACCGCTTTCGTCACTCCCGACGGCTTGTACGAATTCAACGTCATGCCGTTCGGGCTGTGCAATGCGCCTGCCACCTTTGAGCGCATGATGGATACCGTTCTGCGTGACCTGAAATGGCACACGTGCCTGTGCTACCTCGATGACGTCGTCGTTTTCGCTCCGGACTTCTCCACGCACCTTCAACGCCTGCGGCATGTTTTAACGCGTCTGAGTGACGCCAGTCTGCAACTGAACTTAAAGAAGTGCCCATTTGCAGCTCGGCAGTTGACAATACTCGGCTACGTCGTGTCCAAGGACGGAATTCTCCCCGGTCCAGCCAAGCTTCGGGCCGTGACCGAGTTGCCCAAGCCGACATCCGTCAAGGAACTGCACAGTTTCATAGGACTGTGTTCCTACTTTCGGCGCTTCATCCGAAACTTCGCGTCTATCGTATCGCCGCTGACAAAGCTCCTCGGTAGTAACGGGCCTCTCCATTCCTGGTCATCACAGTGTGACGACGCATTCACAACGCTCCGTCGTTTACTGACGTCGCCTCCCATACTCCGCCACTACGACCCTACTGCCCCTACAGAGGTACACACGGACGCCAGTGGTATCGGTCTCGGCGCTGTCCTTGCGCAGCGCAAACCAGGGTTCCCGGAATATGTCGTGGCGTATGCAAGCCGTACGCTTACAAAAGCCGAGACTAATTACACCGTCACTGAGAAAGAATGTCTGGTAATAGTCTGGGCCCTTACCAAGTTCCGACCTTATTTATATGGTCGCCCATTTGATGTAGTCACCGACCATCACGCACTATGCTGGTTGTCATCATTGAAAGATCCCTCAGGCCGTCTCGCCCGGTGGGCACTTCGCCTGCAAGACTACGACATCCGCGTGCTGTACCGCAACGGAAGGCAACATGCTGACGTCGACGCCCTGTCGCGCTCTCCCTTGCCTGACGACAATGCCCACGACTCAGCGTCTCACCTTGCCGTTTCTTCCATTAGCATTCATGCCGTTGCTACTGAACAACGCAAGGATCAATGGATTGCCTCACTGATAGACTTGCTGACTGATCCATCCACTACATCCACTCGCGCCTTGCGTCGTCAAGCCCACCATTTCGCCGTTCGCGACGACCTTCTCCACCGACGCAATTACAGTGGTGACGGCCGCTAGTGGCTACTAGTCATACCCCGCAGTCTGCGCTCTGACATATGCGAATTCTTTCATACTGATCCGCAATGTGCGCACTCCGGCGTATCGAAGACTTACCAGCGCATTCGCCAACGGTACTTTTGGCACGGCATGTACCGCTATGTGCAGAAATTCGTTCGCTCCTGCATAGAATGTCAGTGCCGCAAAACTTCAACGCACCTGTCGCCGGTAGCTCTGCAACCTCTACCTTGCCCTGCCAGGCCGTTTGGGCGCGTTGGCATCGATTTGTATGGGCCACTTCCACTAACGTCGGCCGGTAACCGCTGGGCCATTGTTGCTGTGGACCACCTCACGCGATACGCCGAAACTGCCGCTCTCCCCGCAGCTACAGCGAGCGATGTGGCCTCCTCCTGCTCCAACGACTCATGCTGCGACACGGTTCACCTCAGGAACTGCTCAGTGATCGAGGCCGCGTCTCCCTGTCTGAAGTCGTCGAAGCCATTCTCAAAGAGTGCAACGTTGTTCACCGCAAAACTGCCGCTTACCACCCGCAGACGAATGGCCTCACTGAACGCTTCAACCGTACGCTCGGCGACATGCTCTCCAAGTACGTCGCCGCCGATCACACAAATTGGGATTCCATTCTACCCTTCGTCACCTACGCATATAACACCGCCCCTCAGAGCACTACCGGCTTTTCACCTTTCTTTTTATTATATCGAAGGCACTCGTCGCACACCATCGACACTATACTTCCGTACAAGCCAGATGCGTCAGAGTGGGCGCCTATTTCTGCTACAGCCAAGCTTGCTGAAGAGTGTCGAGAGCTTGCAAGGACCTTTACAGCGCATGATCAAGAGCGGCAAAAAGGCATTCGCGCTGACACCAGCACTACTGCGCCCATGTTCCTCCCTGGAGCGCTCGTCTGGCTCTCGATCCCTACCACTTCAACTGGCCTATCTTCAAAACTATTGCCGAAATACGAAGGCCCCTACCGTGTCGTCGAACGCACTTCCCCTGTAAATTACTTGATCGAACCCATCGAACCATCTTCGGACATGCGCCGTCGAGGGCGCGACATTGTCAACGTGGAGCGCCTCAAAGCCTACCACGACCCGCTCATAGTAACCAGCTGCTAGGTCGCCAGGCGGCTCCCTTTTCGTACCCGGGGTAGTTGTGGTGAAGCCTTCGAACAGTGGGTCATCCTCTCCAGCGCCTTCTAGTGGGTTGCCCTTTTTAGCAAGAGGAAGAGCAACTCGTGCAGAGAGTCGGTACCCACATTGACTGTCGCTGTCAAGCATCGTCGACAAGTTTCCGCCAATAAACGTCTCAACAATATATATATATATATATATATATATATATATATATATATATATATATATATATATATATATATATATATATATATATATATATATATATAGAATAAACTGGTGTTCTGACTGACGCCATGTCTCATCCATTACACTAAGTCGACAGGATCTACCGCAGTAACATCACGAGAGCCCACCAAAGAAGATGATCAGCCTCTTGAAATACACCGGAGCTGAAGACGACGTCCCTGTTGACAAGTGGTTGCACTTCTTCGAAACGAAGGCGAGCAACGTCAGCTGGTCCGAACGAGATCGCATCACATCAGCGAGTACCTGGAAGGTGAGGCATTCCGCTGGTACCTCACCGAGATTTTCGACGCAGAAGATACGTGGGAAGGCACCAAAACAAGCGTGATATCACAATTTTCTGCACCTGTTAGCGACCCTTTCCGCCAATTCATACACTGCAGGCTCAAAAGAGAACAGTGCATCAGGCACTACTACGAAGAGAAGACACACCTTGGTTGCCTCGAAGACTTAAAAGACGTTCACATAGTATCAGGATTGACTGATGGTGTACCTGAAGAGATCAAAAGGCGCCTCGCTGGATTGATGCTCACCACCCCAGCCAAGTGGCTTGCTGCTGCGCTTCAAGCGGAAGACTCTGTCCACGGAGATGCTTCCCAACACTCGTCAAAACGGCAGCTCATGAGTCGAGAGCGTCATTCTACGCGACCACGGATCCCTGCAGGATTGATGCGCACCCCTCACAGTGAGTGCCGACATTGTGCATCTACTGGTTTGCCGAATCAGTTTC